TTGCCAGGCACCCAAACCATGGACATGTGATCATGGGGATACTGAGATAGCCAGAACACTGAGGACTGGTAGCAGAGGTGGTATTCAGCAGGTTCTGTCCAGTTCTGGAGAACCAATAACAGAAATTTTGAGATATATATATATATATATAAAATAATAAATAAATATAAATATTTTATATTTATATTTGTTTTGTTAAGATACAACCTGTTGTGCCTTAAAATGGCTTATACCGTACTGCATTAAAATGGCTTCTACTGTACAGTGCTGTGGAGTTGCCATGGTAATGGCTTTACGTACTCCACAAGGGGGCTCCCTCTGGTAAGGGAAAAAATCCAACATTAGAAATTGCGGTGACGTTCATGGAAGGTGGGTTGGGATAAATAAATACCCGGGTGGCACCAGGTTATCTACTAGTAGCAAATACAATCTCCTGTAGCAAATCAGAACCCCAATGAAACAACAAAAGAAACTGGGATAGACATCTTTTATATCTGGGTTTATATCTGGATAAAGGCCTCCCAGGGCTTAGGATACATTGGGAGGTTGAAGATCAACCTGGAAGAAAGCAATGCCTCTTCCGAGAAAACTGCATGAACACATCCATGAGGATACCAGTAGGGCCTGACTTGAACGAAACTTTACTTTTTTTTGTAAAAAGATTTTTATTTTTCCCTTTCAAATTCATTCTTAGATATACATTCTTATAATTGCTATTTAACATTTGTCTATTCATCACAGTCTCTATATTTATTTTTATACACATAGGCAGTATATAATACAGTTTGGGTCACTTTCTTACCACCCTGTGCCTCCATCTTTTTTTGCAACACCTTTCTCCTTCCATCTTCTTAACTTCTTCTCTACCTTCTTCCTTCCTCCTCTCCTTCCTTCTTTCTTCTTCCCTTCTCTTTCCCCTCTCCTCCTCCCTTCTCCTCTTTCTTATCCTCTCTCCTACTCTTAATTCCCCCACCCTTACTTTCTCTACTTTACCCTTTTCTTCTTTTCGCTCCTCATCGCCTCTCCTTTCCATTGTTGCCCTTGCTTATTTACTTTCTCTATTGGGTTCTCGGGGTGGCATTTCAGCGATCCCAACTTTATCTTTTCATACCAATAATTTTCTCTGTTTACATTTTATTTCTAATGTTAGTTTTACTTATATCATTTTAAGGAAACTACTTTTGTGGAAAAAAATGTACATACGTGAAACAGAAGTGTAAGCCGAAGATCAAAGAAGTACTGTAATTTGCAATTATTCCTCATTTGGGATTTGAGACCTATGTCTCAATTTTTGAACATGTTCTACCACCCTAAGAAGCATGTTCTTAACATTTGCTGGGAATGAGCTAACACAGCTTCCAGGTATTGATGATTAAATTCAAACCTGTGGCTAGGTCCACAAGCCATACATGGCAACTTTACACTAAACAATCACCTTTTATTTAACTGAAATCTCACCTCACTAATCCCTTTGTTGCCTTTCCCTGCACCAGAGATTTTCTGTTCTTTCACTGTCTTCCTCAGAGAGAAGAGAGAGGAGAGAAAAATTTTATTAGTGAGGCTGAAAGGGAACAAAGATCGGATCAGACCAAATCATTGTATTGCTGGAAGTTTTCTCCAACCTACTGCCTTCCAAATATATCACTTCAGCAGGTTATCTTTTCAAAGAAATACTTATCATCCTATTCCGCTGTACAAACAAAAGAACCTATTACAAAACAATCCTAGTTTTTATGACTGTGGCCCCTTAGAAAATAATTCTGAAAAAATACTGGACATCTTGTGCAAACACAACAAAACCTCTCTGTTGTTCATTAAAGCATGCTAATCTTTTTAGTCTTCCATGAAAGCTTGAAAAAAAAAAACATGCCTCTGCTTTAAAATAAATGAATCGTTGATGCTGGACAACTTTTGAAGTAATGGGGTCTTCCTTACAGACCAACATAAATGTCTGGAAAAAGAATTCTGTACTTTAATGAATAGCAGAAAGCTGGTGTGAGATCAGAAGCATGTCTTCCAAATTGGTTTTTTTCTCTCACCAATTTCACCTTCTCCTCAACTTCTTCTCTTGCATATTGAGTGTTCAAGTTGGTTTTAAAAGATTTTTTAAATAAAAGGCTGAAGCATAGCACCATTAATTTACGCAATTGAAAAAACAAATGTTCTCTGCAGTTGTTTTATGCTCCTGACACACGACAATTTTATCAGAGCATTCATTACTTTAACATCTTTTTAGAAGAGGGGATGTCGATTATTTGGGTTTTGATGGGCAATGCCATTTTGCTGACACAGTACCAAACACTGGAACAATGTATTTCCTGAAAAAGTTAAACACTAGATTTTTTAATGACTAGGAAAATAATAGGTCAAAATTTTAGCTACCTGAACTCCCTAATACATTTTGTGTGTTTGGCAAGGGGACCGAAGCAATAGATGCAAGACAGGTGGTTGCCTTGGGGCTTGGAAGTACAGGTGACAAAGGAATAGCTACTGTGTTACCACCTCCTCCCAAACTGCAGCCATTGACTCAGTCCCTTTGTTATGACCTAATTCAGTGGTTCTCAACCTGTGATCCGCGGATCCCTGGGGGCCGTGATGTCATCACAGGGAATCCACGAAGGCTTGAAGAAATGTTATGATTTAAATCTTGACTTAAGTCTTGGGTCTCTCTGGCTATGGCCCGTGGCTACAAAAGATATAGGTAGTCCTCGGCTTACAACAGTTCATTTAGTGACCCCGTGGAAGTTACAACGGCACTGAAAAAGGTGACTTGTGACCATTGCAGATTCCTCATGGCCATGTGATCAAAATTCAGATGCTTGGCAACCGGCATATATTTATGACGGTTGCAATGTCCAGGGTTGTTGCAACCCTTTTGCAACATTCTGACGACCAGAGTCAATGGGGAAACCAGATTCACTTAACAACTGGGCTACTCGCTTTTCATCTGCCGTGATTCACTGAACGATTGAGGCAAGAAAGTTCGTGAAATGGGACAAAATTCACTTAACAAATGTCTCACTTAGCAGCAGAAACTTTGGGCTCAATTGTGGTCGTAAGTCAAAAGGACTACCTGTATTTAAGGGGGATCTATTGTGAAACAAGATTGAGAACCACAAACCTAGATGGTTAAGAGTGACCCTCATGGATCTGAGATCAATTGCAGCAGGTCTGAAAGCAGGAGCCAAATTTCCTCCTTTGTTCCCACTCAGCTTCAACTGCTACAGCCTTAGTACCAGGGGTGGGCTGCTGGGGGTTCCCAGGGGTTCCGGAGAACCTCTAGCTAAGATTCTGTGCAGTTTGGAGAACCCCCAAATCCCACTCCTGGATGACCCTGCCCACCTCACCGTGCCCCTCCTCAAAGTCCCCACGTGGCCCGTTTTAGATGCAGGTAACTGCAGGGCGCGCACGGAGGCTCTGGGAGGGTGAAAAACGGGCCTACCGGAAGTTCAGGAAGGGCCTCTGGAGCCTGGGGAGGCTGTTTTTGCCCTCCCGGAGGCTTGAGGAAAGCCTCCGAAGGCCAGGGCCAAAATGCCCCCTCCCCACCATGGTCCAGGAGGCCGACTAGGCCACGCCCACCAAGCAACCAGGCAGAGAAACCCTTGCAAAATGTTTGAAGCCCACCCCTGCTTAGCACCTGAGCTCCCATGGCTTTTTCACCCAATAAAGCTGATTCACAGGAGGCATAACAAAATACAAGTAAACAAAATCTAATTTTCACCACATTTTCATCTCCCACAACTCCAACTAAAACACAACTATGGAAAAATTACAATCTGCAGGAGTAACATGGAAGAGAAAGAATAAAAAGAAGAAACATGGTGATATTTTAGGTATGTGAAATTTTTTAAAAAAATGCATCCCAAATGGACAACCACTAGATATAGTGTACAAGAAATATAGCAATACCAATAGCAGTTAGACTTATATACTGCTTCATAGGGCTTTCAGCCCTCTCTAAGCGGTTTACAGAGTCAGCATATTGCCCCAAACAATCTGGGTCCTCATTTTACCCACCTTGGAAGGATGGAAGGCTGAGTCAACCTTGAGCCTTTCAGAATCGAACTGCCAAACTGTTGGCATCCAGCAGCCAGTAGCCTGCAGTACTGCATTCTAACCACTGCACCACCATGGCTCATTAATAGCAAATGCACTTAGACTTACATACCACTTCACAATGCTTTACAGCCCTCTCTAAGCGGTTTATAGAATCAGCCTATTGCCCCCAACAATCTGGGTCCTCATTTTACCCACTTCGGAAGTCTGGAAGGCTGAGTCAACCCTGAGCCGGTGAGTTTTGAACCGCTGAACTGCAGTTAACAGTCAGCTGAAGTGGCTGCAGTACTGCACTCTAACCACTGCGCCACCTCGGCTCTTTTTCTTTTAAGACCAAATTTCTTAGCTATTGCCAAAATTTAGTAGAACAGGATGGCAAAAAACAATGGTTTCTATGTTAGCAATGGCTAGGTTTCCCTTTGTGGGGGAAAACAATAGCACGTAGATGTATATACCACTTCACAATTCTTTACAGCCCTCTCTAAGCGGTTTACAGATTCAGCCTATTGCCCCCAACAATCTGGGTCCTCATTTTACCCACCTTGGAAGGATGGAAGGCTGAGTCAACCTTGAGCCTGGTGAAATTCGAACTGCCAAATTGCAGTGAGCTGGCAGTCAGCAGAAGTAGCCTGCAATACTGCATTCTAATCACTGTGCCATTGCGGCTCATGTTGTATTTCCAGTCCCCCATTTTAGCATTTAAACAGATCCTCTTGCTCTAACTATCCTTTCTCCTTTCTATATATCTAAAGATTTAAAACATCATCCAATATTCACATACAATGTATTTAAAATCACAAACGAGTCCTTGCTTTTGGGGCTCGTCCATCATCAAGGTTTTGGTGCTGGATGTCAAAATATTGAACTTCCGGAACCTTCAAAATGAAAAACAGAGAGTGAGAAGATAAAAATACAAGGATCAGTCACAACACATGCAATTTCCTGGTGGCCAGAGAATGATATATTTCAGTGGTTGGGTTCCGGATCCCATTGCAACCAGTACAGTTGCAACGTGGCCCGGCGCCCACTATCTGAATATGTGCAGCATCCTTATCTCTTGCGATGTCTCCGCAAGCCTCTGCAACACTCCAGCTGCTCGGTGGAGCGTCGTGCAGGCACTGTGTGCTCCGTGCGTGGAAGCACCGAAGAACTCAAATATAGGTAAGGAGTTTGGGTGGGCGGGTGAGCCCTCCAGAGCACCGTACCGGAACGGTACCCACCTGCAACCCACCACTGATATATTTAAATAAAACACGACCATGGTATCTCCTTTGCCATGCAAGTATATATTCAGAGATAGTGTCTTGCCTTAACATATTCATAATAAACTTTTTGAACAGTTGTCAATTGGAATTATGAAAGTAGGTTGTGATTTCCCCCCCCAAATAGCTGTAATGGCCATTCACAAAACAGCTGCTACGGTGAATATGTGACTGTGTCACAAATACTAATTTTCCAGGAGGCAAACTGGGGAGGCTCCTTACCATTCCAAGGAACCTTTCTTCCCGTTGACAGGGCACACTCTCATACAAAACACTGAACTGTAGATACCCATCTTTTTATGTGTAAAAATTGCCCATAGAGTTTATGAAGGATCTAGGGATATTCTTGAGCATCACAATTGCCCCAGAGACTGCCTGTCTGATTTGTAACATTTCATTTAGCACTGTGCAATGTTTAAAATATCCAATAAAGAAATTGGACTGGGAACTTGATGGGAACCAAGGTGAGTTTCTAGATAAGAGCTTATCTACTCCTGAGCTTATTACTCAAATTATAGGGCAGGCATAGTATTGCCTTCTCCAAAGGTCTCCCCTCCTCGGTATCCACTGCAGTTTTCCAATCTCAGTTTCTTTTCAATTCTGCTAAGTAGGTGATATTGGAGATGGGCCCGAGAGCTGAAAGAAGTTCTTCAAATCTTACATCTATCAATAACTCATTTATCTCTTTCTAAAAAGGGCCCCACTATGAACTCCTCCTCCATTAACCAGATAAGTAAAGCTTTACAACCTCCAGATTAAGAATCATGGTCCATCCATTACCCTCCCAGATAGGAAAGGCTCCTTATTCCCATTGCTTTTATTCAGCGATTTCTTACCCGGTCAAATTAGTAGCATCCCTGAAAAAGGTAAGAACAAGGAAGATCAATCAATGGATGATTCCCACATGTTTAGTCCCCTCCCACAACACTACAAGCTCCATTAGTAAAAGTTAAGATATACAAAGCCTAGGGCATGAGTGTCCAACCCAACTTGCATGGACCACACATAAATCACAAAATAAAATTAAAAGTTTACAATCTTGTCGGGCCACATTATTAGTTGTCCAGGGCTGTGTGAGGCCCATGGGCCACAGATACCTGGCCTAGAGGTTTATTTTTTTAAAAAAATACTTGTTATTAAAGAGTTTTAATAATAACACAAACAGAAATTAGGAAAAAAGAGAAGAATAGAAAGAAACGAAATACAAAATGTAAAAGAAAAAAGAAGAGCAAAAATGAAACAAAACAGAAAAAAAGAACATTTAAAGAAGCAACACCAGATCTTCCTTGCAACAAGTACAAGCAAATTAACATTTTCCCATTTCTCTGGTATTTATTTATTAAATTTATATGCTGCCCAGTTCCCAAAAAAGGCAACTCTGCCCAACTTCTATTACACACATAGCTCACTTCTTCCCATAACCTTAAATCTTTTCACTAATCCAAAAATTCTTGTCATTTCTGACTCTGTATGGCAAAAAGTTCATTTAGGGTTTCTAGACTTTTATAAAAAAAAAAAAAA